CATACATAACTGTGCACAGTAACATTTTATTCAGACAGTGTAGCATGTTAATTTGATACGATAATGCGAGTGACACATTTCTAGTCCAGAAAATTTATTATATTTTAACACAGTCGTATTTTGCACTGTGCCCTGTCCTACTTATGTTATGGGGTGAAATATTATTAAGTCCCTTTCTATAAGTTTTATGTCACTTGTACATAACAAGCAAGCAGAGCAAATGTGTCCTTGAGACAGCCCTGGTCCTTATGGATTTCAGATTCACATGATTGTTTTTGTTGCACTTTAAATTTAGGTGAGCTCGTATAATACCGGTACCACAGTAGCTGCATTTTCCACTGCTTAAGGTATTATGGGTCAATGATATATCTAACCTTGCAGTAACATAATTTATTTGGACAGTGTAACGTGTTAACTGTGCATAGTATATATATGAGTGACACATTTTTTATTTCTAGTCCAGAATCTATTCTAACACAGTCATATTTTGCACTGTGCCCTGTCCCGCTTACGGGGTGAAATATTATATTATTAAGTCCCTTTCTAAGTATTATGAAGAACTTTATTGCACGACAATTGTACAGGGTACATTGTATGGCAAATAGGTAACAATAAGTAGCATAGTAAATTAGATAGGTATAGAATAAAACTTAACAACATATATATATAGAAAAGAAATAATCAAAAGTTAGCTTAGGCTTTACAATCAGTTATTTATGGGTACATGTGACAGCAAATCAGTATTCTTTCTAATAACAAAACAGTCTTTTATGTAATACCTATTTTTGCATTGTCTGGGCTGTTGCATTTAATCTATCTGTAGCAACAAGTCTATTATGTCACTTGTACAATACAAGCAAGCAGAGCAATGTATCCTGGAGACAGCCCTGGTCCTGATGCATTTCAGATTGTTGACTCAGAATCAATTCAGTCACAATCTAAAAGGAAAAAGAGAATGCCTCATACAGACCCTAATTATCTCTGGATTGAAACTGGAAACGCAACATTTTCCACCTCCAGAGGCCTCAGGCAAGAGATGGTTGTTTGGTACTTCTGTGTGGCTGGTTACTGTTCAGGCTAGCAGTTAGTAGCTATTTCCTTACTAGTAATACTAGTCTAGTGAAAATAAACTGTCAGTCCCCAGCAGATCCAGGATGTCAGAACAACAGGCACAACAACAGGTGGTTACTCCCAGGGTTCCTCCCAGGCTGCTCACTGCTCTGGATCTACAGCAAATAGATGTAGCACAGGTATGGTGCACACTCACTAGGGTGTCATGACCTACTAATGACTGTTCTATTATCAACACATTATTCTATCTGTCAGTGAGCTTTCCCAAGCCTGTGAAACCCAAGCTCCGGGGGGCTCCCTACATATATAGTCCGTGGCGGACTACTGGGGAGACGGCGAAAAGCGAGGTTCAGTCAGGCTAATCCCTTTCCCTGAGTCAGATCTTGTGGCTTTCTTGTGCCTGTGTGATGACTGATGTAGAATTGTGTAGTCTTGGGTCAGTGCTCTTTAGCAAGCCTCAGCAGTCACAGCTGTTAGGACTGTGAGGTCCTTCAGTGTTAGGTGCTCCCTGGCTATCAGTTCCTGGCTTACATGCATATACATGTATTTAATATTATATATATTATAACTAAGGCCTTTTCATCTATATCTGTGGTCCCTGTTGCCTACTGTTTATCCTCCTCCCACACACACACACACTGATGAGATTTCAGTTCTGCTGAAAGGGCAGAAAATGATCTGTACGGAGGATAATTGGATGCCTACATGTATGTCCACATGGCCCTGGGCTAATGACACTCTGCCCTGGCCCACTTAATACATGTATGCAGCTGCATAGTATTACATACAACAGCATGGAATGGCCCTAACCTATAGCGACAGTTTACATCCACACAGTAATGGCTGTTCCCTAGTAGTACGCTTCACATCCCAACAGTATACGTAATGGCCGTTCCCTGCACTTTGAATTCACTTCAGCAGGCAGTTCTTGTGATATGTCTGATTCTGCTCCACTTTCCTCTGGTAGAGGTTGGATCAAACTGGGGTTAGGATTTTGTGAGGCATCATATTTAGCACTTCAACATTGCACATCATGGAATCCTGATCAGAAACCTGGCTTCAGCCTGGCAATAGAAACCTGTCTGTTAGTCATATTATTATTACCAACAGTTGAGGGTAGGTGGTCTATTTGAAATATTATACAGTAATACTGTCTGCTTTGACCATTTTATTTAGCGATAGACTTTATTTTTGGTCTGCTTTGACCAGTTTTTTTACCTTATTTCTGGTTTGATCATATATTGACTGCCTCTTATTATTAGTTCTATTGGTTACTAGTAGGATTGTATGCATTGTGTGTGTGCTTGCGTGTGTCTGAGTGAGTGTGCGTGCGTGCATGAGTGTGTGCGCACGTGTGTGAGTGTGTGTGTGTTTGTGTGTGTGTGTGTTGGTCTGTGTGTGTGTGTGTGCGTGTGTGTGTGTGTGCATCAATGTGTGTGTCCGTGTGTCTTCATGCGTTTGTGTGGTGTGTGTGTGTGTCTGCCCGTGTATGCGTATTTTTGTTGTGAATGGGTGAAGTCTGCCATCTCTGATCACCTTTATGTTTCCTTCCCTTTCAGTACATGCGTTTCAGGGAGCAGTTCAAACTGGTCCAGTGGAAGCGAAAGGTTAAAATCTGACTCGTTTTTTCAGCTTTGCAGCTTCTATATAACACCTGCATGGTGGAAGCTGTGCAGAGTTGTGCGTGTGCGTGTGTGTTTGTGTGTGACTGTGTTTGCGATGTTCTCATGTAATGTGAATTTGATGTTTATGACTTTTCGCCAGGCTGGATATGTATTATATATGCCTTATGCACACCTGGAACATTTCTCAGCGCTCCTTTCAGCACTAACCTTGTTTGTTGTTGTGCATGTTTGAAAGCTTTTTGCCCAGGCTTGTGTGACGATGTTTCTGGGGTGTTGCTGTGCAGTAGTTTGAGGAGGAACAGTAGTTTTGATGCACCTTTTTGCTGATATGCAGTATATATATATAATATATACAGCTAGTATTGCTGTAAGGAAACATTTTTATTGCTTGTGTTTGCATAATGTGTGACTGTGTATAATCATAACTTGATTATAGCTCCTATAGCTTCCTATGAATACTTTTGACTTGTGTTTTTAAATCTTGCCTTCTTTACTTTCTTTTTATATTATGATTCATTATAATGATGCAACATATTTTTATTTCCTCTCCATCCCCCTCCACCTTTTAGTATAGAAAACCTTAATATTCTCAGACTGTTATTACAGACAGTTTTACATTGTGAGTCAGTTAAAGCCTAATTTTAGTCTGATGAATGTTTAGCACACACATCTGTATGTTCAGACTGAAAAAAATCCTGTTTCTGCAGCCCTTCAGCATTTAACCTGACATCCTGTTCTTGTGGTGTTATGGCAACAATTGCCTTTATGATAGCTACATAAATCATTCCACATAACAAACAAACAACCAAAAATATCATCTCAGTCTTCTCAAACAGACCACACAGATAAAAGGACTCATTATTGATGTTCCTGCATGCAGTGATTCTATATCCAATTTTATGGTTCCCTGTTGCCTATATGTGGATAGATCAGAATCTGATATTATTCAGTATTTTTCTGTGGCTCCTTCTCAGCAGGTATGACGAATTTGTCCTAGATATTAGTGTAAGTGGGAAAGTGGAAAAGTTAGGATCACTAGTCAAATCAAGAACGTAATGTATTATAAAAAGTCACTGTTTGTTGCAGTTACTGTTAGTAACAGTAATTAACAGTGCTCATTGTGCTAAATATTGATCCAATATTGTCAGACACAACTTGGATAGAAAGTGGTATATTAAGGCATTAGATGTATAGTCCAGGTTGTTGTGAGGAGAGTAACTGTTATCATCTCGGGTTTGTGCTGCACTATGTGTACATTTTCAGGCAGCAGGGTTAAACCTTCCTGACACTACTGACAGCTGTGTTAGATCTACAGTACTAGTCTGTGTTAGATTTACTGTTGTTACAGTGTACTGACAGCTGTGTTCGATCAGGCCTGGGGATTACTCTCAGACCAGTTAATCCTGCAGGCATGTCTCCATGCTTTTAGCCTGTTTCCAGGGTTGCGCCTACGTAGTTGAAAATCGAGCTGATAACTGAGTCTATGGTCAATCCTATATCAGGTCACTGACGTGATTCTGCCCATCCTGGCATGTACAATGTAGGACTAGTAGCCAGTCCTGTATCAGCAGCAAGGCTGTATGTATCGCAGATTAGAACTCGCTGCCACCAAGTACAGTAGGGGCATTGTCATTAGATAGCTTTAAACAATGTCTAGAGGTTCAAGGGTTAGGTGTAACAAGTCGATCGGGTGTGATATAGCCAGCTGCCGCCATGTGGAGTGCCTGTGAAACTGGTGTGTTACGCCAAAGAGTGGTTATACCGGCTATACAGATACAGAAGCTGGTGTGTTATGCCGAAGGGCGGTTATACCGGCTATACAGATACAGAAGCTGGTGTGTTACGCCGAATGGCGGTTATACCGGCTATACAGATACAGAAGCTGGTGTGTTACGCAGAAGGGCGGTTATACCGGCTATACAGATACAAATACAAATGTTGTGTTATAGTTTAGTTTACAGGACAATGTTTCTTGCATGTATGTTTCCTGGCAGAGTACTTACATGTATGGACCCTCCCAGTGTTGTACATATTGTTTCTGCAGTACTTAGCAAAATGTAACTGTCTGGTGGTGATCCCACAGAAATCTGGAGCAGCGTGGGTTTGCAGCGTGGGTTTGCAGCGTGGGTTTGCAGCGTGGGTTTGCAGCGTGGGTTTGCAGCGTGGGTTTGCAGCGTGGGTTTGCAGCGTGGGTTTACAGCGTGGGTTTGCAGCGTGGGTTTACAGCGTGGGTTCGCAGCGTGGGTTTGCGGCGTGGGTTTGCGGCATGGGTTTAACTCCCCATGTTGTTGTTGTTCCCTGCAGTACCTAGCCAAGCGTAACCGGCTCGTTGAGACCCAGCGCAGTATGAAGGCCCAGATCTGGAGCAGCGTTGTCAGCCTGGTGCTGATTGAAGGGAAGGGTTTGCTGCCGATGGACGACAACGGACTCAGCGACCCGTACTGCAAGTTCAGGCTCGGGAATGAGAAATACAAAAGCAAGGTAAGGTCTTCCTTACTACAGTACAAGTACCGTACCCTATTGTAATATGTGTGTGTGTTGTTTGAGTGTGGGGGGCTGTCTAACCTTAAATACGTAGCCTAACCCTACTGCAAGTTCAGGCTTGGGAACGAGAAATACAAGAGCAAGGTACAGTACAAAAGTCTTTACACAGTATGTTCTTCCTTGCTCCAGTACATGTACAGTACCCTAAGTTATTTGTGTGTGTGTGTGTGGGGGGGGAGGTTGGCTGTCTAACCTTACATAGCGACCCGTACTGCAAGTTCAGGCTCGGGAACGAGAAGTATAAAAGCAAGGTACGGTATAAAACTCCTTCCTAGCTGTAGGGTCTTCTTCACACATTAGTCAACCTTAATGCATCCTTTAAAAAAAAACCAACAAATTTTGGTGGGACATTACTTTTTCTATGGTTTACAGAAGAGAAGTCAGTTCAGTTCAGTCAACAGACATAGTTTTAGACATAGTTATAGTTCTAGACAGCTACCTTTATCATGTAGACTTTAGTTATTTTATACTCTGATTCATTGCTCTCTTATGTTTTGTAATTTGCAATTATCCTCCGGGCACGAATTTTGCAATAAACCTTTCTACCTTTATGTGTTGCGTGTGTGTGTGTG